CGTTTTTGTTGTAGTTGAGGTTTCCGGGGTTTTCCCAAGTAATTACAAGACTTTTTCACGACGCCCCACTTGGGACAGAAGCGCAGTCTTATGAGTGCGCTGGATACCCCTGTTTCTAATTCTTGAAATTGTATAATACCGATAGCGTTAAATAGGTTTTGTTTCCGAGAAGAATGCTTCTTGTATCTACAATTTTATTTTACACTCTGCAGTTTGGGTTAGACTGGCGGCTGGTTAATTTATGTTTATTGGCCTGTATATACTTGTATATATCGACAAACAATGTAACTGATGCATAAAAACTCATTCTTTTCTATGAAATAGTAGCTGGACGAACTGATAAAAGACCCTTTGTCGACATGTGTTTGCGTAACACGTTCTATAGGCAGCATTCAAACGTTCTATAGGACCCTGATAGCTGTATTCCTTTCAAGGTACAGAATTTGAAGTGGTTTATGCAGTATGCGCAAATTAAACAACTTATCTTCGAGGCTGTTCCTGTCACATGACTGACATGCCTCTATGCTCATGTTTTATTATGAAACTTCTTAGTTAATTCAGTAAACATAGAAGTTTTTATTTATTTGAAATTGTAGATTCTCGCAGCAGCGAACATGAAGATGGATCTGTTTTGAGTTGTTGAACCTTATAATCTGGGTAGATTACTAACGTTTTATAGTTGTTCGGTGCCTCCATCATTAAGCTCCTCTGAAACGTCGGTAAACTTCAAGTTGTACCACACTAAAATCCTGAGCTGTGGCATATTAGTTATTAAAGGTGAGTGTTTTATGTGAAGTCGTTCGCTTTGCAAATAAAATCTATGGCTGAGAAACGTAAAAGGAATAATCAAGCGAGAAGAAGAAAGCGTAGTATTTTAAAAAGAATTTTTTTGTCTGTCCTAAATGTACATTCTGTGGCTAACATTCAAAGATCATGTTTGCAATGTGTCTCTTCGAAAGAAAAGAATTGTGCATAATTGAGATAAGATGTGAGATCAAGATTTCTGTCTTCTGGGTTGTTGCGCTGTGTAGTCTGGTCGATGTTTATCAACGTTTCATCGCCCTGATGACGGAGGCAGTATGACCTCTGAAACATTGGTTAACATCTACCAGACTACACAGCGCAACAACCCAGAAGACAGAAATCTTCATACTCATCGCCCTGATGATGGAGGCAGTATGACCTCTGAAACGTTGGTTAACATCGACCAGACTACACAGCGCAACAACCCAGAAGACAGAAATCTTCATACCCATCGCCCTGATGACGGAGGCAGTATGACCTCTGAAACGTTGGTTAACATCGACCAGACTACACAGCGCAACAACCCAGAAGACAGAAATCGTCATCGCCCTGATGATGGAGGCAGTATGACCTCTGAAACGTTGGTTAACATCTACCAGACTACTCAGCGCAACAACTCAGAAGACAGAAATCTTCATACTCACCGCTGTGAAACCTTAAATCTTACATGTGAGATCAAGTTCTCAAACAAAATGACTGTCTTTTTATTCCACGTCTGTGTACAAGAGGATTCCTTATGTCCGCCGTTGATAGTCTCGACCCACTTACATAACAAATTTTTGCTGACTGTACCAACATTTTTTATCGCAGATTGAGTTTAAAGATCATGATGTACATTTTTCTCCTACATCAGCGGAAATAATTTTGTAAATATACCCGTTTCGGCCGATGTAATATAATACCAGTTACTGTTAGTGGATAGAGAGAGTCAAAATTTCCATATGATGCTGTGGATAATACAGCGAATTTACAACTTTGATTCTGGAACTTACTGAAAGGCAGACAGATGAGTGCCGTTCCTGAAAAATTCCGATTCATCTGTCCGGGATGAAACACCGATCGTACAGACGTAGTCAAATTACTTTACTGACTGATTTATCCCCTCTCTTGAAGATATAACTCGCTGTAGCCGCTCATCTCGTGGTTCGAGCCGTGGCTACAGTTTTAGCTGGCCTGGAAGCATCCGAGTTATGACGGCAACACGCCTGAAGTTTTTGGCTGTTTGTGGACCAATTAAACAATTGATCATAATAATAATAATTATTTTTCGTGTCCAGTACACACCATTCAGCATGGTGGAATGTGATTAAGAAGGAAACAGAGAAGACCTTCTCATAGAAATACAGAGAATGTGGAAATTGAAAGCAAAAGTAATCCCAATAATTATAGGAGAGACAGGAACTGTCTCCAGGTCGCTCAGAAAATATTTGGCCAACATCCCGGGCGAACACGACGTCAGGGAACTTCAGAAAACTGCCATTTTGGGATCTTCATACATCATTCGAAAGACGCTTTCGTAAAATATAGTCATCCCTCACAATAAAACTATATAATACATGTAACACGTATTAAAAACAAAATGCATTTAAGAAATAGCTGCTGCACTATCAGGGGCAAGGTTTTTCTCGGGTACACAGAAGTAAATGCATTATAAAGTGGTGAATAGATGGAACAATAACAACAACAATAATAATAACAAAAGAAAACAGGACAGTGTATATGATCAGCCTCACAAGTTTCACAATACTTGCTCAAGTTCAGATTAAACGATAAACCACAATGGTGGGAATCCCCGTTAAGAAACACAAGGAAACACGCGGCTTTTTGATGAATTACGTTCACATTTTACGTCACAAACTATGCACACAGACATGGAAATTCCATGGCCTTCAAATGATGGCGGTCAAGATATGATCCTTATCTTGCGAGTTATGATGCATGCCTTGTAGTCTAGAAGGTGATTGGCAGAATTTCAGAGGAACCTCTCACCTCCATCTTGAGGGTAAATTTGAGAACGATTGAAAATCTGTTTTTCGCCACCCTCACATACATAATTTATAAGGTACATTGCCATATTTTAAATATTCAATAAACGTTATGTTTATTTTGTCAGAAGCGCTACATTCTTCACCATCACTCATCCCAGCATGAAGAATAATATTTTCATTACGATTAGTAAATACAAAGATGGGAGCATACGTTCTTCAAAAGTGCATATTCTCTCTGGGGTCATAGGAATTTTATGTTGAGACAGGAGAGACTGGTGGGAGTCTGTTCTGTCGTGCTGCATAAACGAACTCCAGGCCTTTGCTCAACAAGCAAGGATTTGAAATGAAACGTTTCTTCCGTGCTTGAGTATAAGCTTAAGCTGGCTTATGCTAAATTTCTCGATAGTTCGAAGAAATAAATAATTCGACGCCGGAAGTACGAACAACGTAGGTCTATAGAAGATCTATTATCGTATTCACAACGGCCTGACACTGGTTCTTATCCTGAGCCAGATTAATCAAATCCACATCTTCTCATCCTTTTCCCCCCAATATCCATTTTGATATATTCTTCCCATCTACGCTTAGTTCCAAGTGGTATCTTCCCTTCAGGCTTTCCAACCAAAATTTTGTACGCATTTTTCATCTCTACCATTCGCACTGCATGCCCAGCCAATCTCATCCTACTTGATTTGGCGATGCTAATAATATTTAGTAAAGAGTAATTTTATGAATCTCCTAATTATGCAGCTCTTTCCTGTATTTACGTTCAAATATTTTATTTAACATCCTGTTCTTAAACACTCTCAGTATGAGCTAAAAACCACGTTTCACACCCATACAAAACTTTAACACCGTATAATATTCCCACCGCAAACAGCATCATTAAGAACGAAGCACTGAACATCTGTGCAGAATCATAATTCAAAGTCCAGTCATGTTTAACTGGACGAGGTAAACGTATACAGTTGATAAAGGAGTCATTAAATTAATCAAGATCATGTCCTCTGATTAAATCTTACTGTGGCTTCTTCGGATTAATTTCCCGATAAGGTAATATACAACTATTACGCTGTCATGCTCGCCACTAAACGCCTTGTCACTGGAGGCGATGCCATGTTTCTGCTTTACAATATAATGCCATCATTAGTACGAAAATGGCGGTTGCGTAGACTTCTGAAGTGGGATCGACACTTCTCGATTTATTAGATTGTAAAACAACATGGCGGACAGGCGATAATTAATGAACCAGTAGAGCTGGGCACGTGATATAAACATTTTTATAAATTATTTATGAATCTATATTTAACAGTTGTAAAAATAACAGCAGTACGAAACATTTTGTTTAAGCCTATATCTGAGGAATTAAAAGTAATAGGATTATATTCCGAGAAGATTATAAACAGATACGGATTATCTACTAAATTATATGATTATTAGTTTAGAAGTTTTGCTGCCTTTATCGCATAGAATGAAGAATTCTAAGAAAAGCAGGAAACATGCGATCTCTTCACAGAGCTAGTTATTCTTAATCCAATACCTGTAAGGCTGTAATTCGTTATCACGAATGAAGCCCATATGCACTTGAATAATATTGACTCTCACGAACAAAGTTCAGGTTTTTACCTAGCACATCATACGGTTCGTTAACCCGGTTTTGAACTGTCCCAGTTTACTCCTCTGTCCTTTGCTGAACACCGTCTGTTCACGAGACAGGCCTACATTCATCTCCAAAGACAAGAACCACGTTCAGATCACATTTTCACACCTCTACTCTAAAAACCCTTTCGGTAACTTGGCAATTTCTCCTTTAACCCTATCAAGAATAATGCTAACTACACGTAACATTTGCTGTAACATTCAGTATCCCTTTGTATTGTTCACGGAGTATATTTATGGGTTACATATGATTCTCAGAATAAACAGACTTTATTTCCTTAAACAGCATTATTTTTATTTTTTATTTGTAGTGTTCTGTCTAACGACAGGTCCATATGAACAGGATCCTTCCATCCTTTTCTCGGACTGGGACCTGTTCATATACGTTCTTGGCAGATGATCCAGAAGTGGTTTGCCATTGCCTTCTTCTGTGTGTGAATGGGATGCCACGGAGAAACCGGGGAAGCCCCCGGAGGAAAACTCCGTGTTGCCTAGACCACGGCCTTGCCCAACACAAGTTATAAATTCGGGCACCGCCGGGAATCGAACCCGAGACCCCAGGATTACAAGGCCAGCGTTCTAACCGCTAGACCACCGTTATCTTCGCAAAAAGCATTGAAATTACGGAGTGTATAAAATTAATTCACAGAATAAATTGAACATTCACGGCGATTAAGGCCACAGTCCTAACAAACTCAGCAATACAAAACCCGACCGCCTGTTTGCAGGCTCCCACGAAACGAAGACTCCCCCAGGCTCCACCATAGGCGCCACTACAGCCTCGTTCACAGAGTTTTAAGGTTTCTTCACGCATCGAACTCTCCCAGCCAAGCGTGACGGACATTGGCTATTATATTAGGAGTAAACAAAAGTATGTTTTTATGCTTCAGAGAGTTCTGATTTTTAATTCTTTGCTGACTCAATTAAAAGTAAAAATACAATTTAGTTGCGTCGAATGAGATAAGACGATATGATAATGTAACAGGGGAAAATCAGTCCCGAAATTCGACAAAGTTACAGGAGCTGAATTATGCAACGTTTCAAAAGTGCCTTTGCTCTGGTAAATATTTCATTTGATAAATTAACCTTTATTTGTAATTTCAACGTGAATGAATGATTCTAATGTAGTATTTAGTTATATTTCTTTAACTACTGATTCTTCCTATATAACGTTATATTAAAGAGCATAGAGAATACAAGAACACGAAGAAGGGGGACCTATTTAAAATTATAGTCTTATAATTCGCCCGGAGACACCGAGAAAATTCGATAATGTCAGTCACATTAACTTTTAAAGTCAACAGAAATGTCACTTATGTTTTGACGTATATTTAAAAGAAATGCAGTTTAAGGCCATCAGATATGTTTCGTAGAAGTGTGTAAAAGAAACGTTGGAAGGTCAGAGAGGTATGAACAGAGCTATCAGGCTATCACTTCAGCGAGGGTCTACCAGTCTGGTTCGTTCTAGCGAGTAGATCGGCAGTGTTACCACAACTTGCGAGCCGACAGCATCGGGCGGTGAGACTTGCATTGCTATGTTACAGTTTCAGTTCCCGAAAGAGAAAATGGAATTGGGGATGAATCTGTTTCTGTTTGTTTGTTTGTTTGTTTGTGTGTATTACGAATTATGTTTGTAGGCGTGTATATATGCATGTATATACGTATATTTGTAATGTATGTTTTATTTCGTACGTACGTACATGTATTTAGACACGCGTCTGAAAATAACTTTCGAAAAATTAAAATTTCTTTTTGCCATCTATCTAAAAACACGTGTTGTTTTGCGTATGTGTGAAACTTGGTCTCTCATCCCAAAGGAAGAAAATTGAGTGTTTTTGAGAAGAACGTGTTGGATAAAACATTTGGATGTGTAAAGGAGGGAGTAACAGGAATCCAGAGAAATCTTCGTAAAGAAGAGCTCAGAAGAAATGTTGTGTGAAGGTTTGCGCAGGATTTATCAAGCTCAAGATGTGAGCCAGTGAACACGGCAATAACCCTCCATTTCTAGTTCTATAAAGGGCGGGAATAAGTCGAGTAGCTGTATGACTGTTTTCCTCGTGTTTATTATAACAGTGTAATTTACTTTTATTATTATTAATATTATTATTTTAGTGTTCTGTCTGACGACAGGTCCATATGAACAGGATCCTTCCATCCTTTTCTCGGACTGGGACCTGTTCATATACGTTCTTGGCAGATGATCCAGAAGGGGTTTGCCATTGCCTTCTTCTGTGTGTGAGTGGAGTAATTGTTGGGATGCCACGGAGAAACCGGGGAAGCCCCCGGAGGAAACCTCCGTGATGCCTAGACCACGGCCTTGCCCAACACAAGTTATAAATTCGGGCACCGCCGGAAATCGAACCCGAGACCCCCAGGATTACAAGGCCAGCGTTCTAACCGCTAGACCACCGTGGCTACACTTTCATTATATTTCGATAAAATTATTGTGCTGAAACCAGTCTTTGTTTTCCCGGATGGTGTTTCATGTGAAAATTACATAAGATAACCAGTCAAACCATTACAGATGAGCTGTCGACAAAGGAATTTGTTATAAATGATCAGGCGAGGCGAAAATAGACAATAGAATTAGCCTAAATGGTGACAGTCGATTCTTACAACAAGCAGCGCAGTTCCAGAGGTAGCCGCCACAGTGCACAAGCGCTGTAACAGTAATTCCATCAGAGGTCTCGCCATGAAGGCCAACCTAACTTTTATTTAAGGAGTGAATTACATCGGCGATACGAAAGCGAAATGTAAAGATTGATAATATTTGTAAGAACACTGAGCTTTAATTAAAATAATTCGACATCTCAGATGCACATAATTGCAGCCAGGTACATTAAATTTAATATCTCTTTGTTCAGATATTTGAGAAACTTACAGTGGCTAAGCCGATCAAGATATTACCCGCATATTACGAAAGATTTATTGCCGTGTTCATAAGAGCTCGCCACTGATATATTTTGAGCCCGATCAATCCAGCCCACAGCCTGACATTTAATTTACTTAAAATCCATTTTAATATTATCCTTCCGCCTATGCCTAGGATTTATAAGTGGTGTCTGTACTTCACGTTTTCCGACTAACATTTTTACGCATTTCTCATTTTCGTTATGCCTATTATATGACCCACTCATAAATTTACCTTCATTTGATAATATTAATATTTGGCTAGTTATGCAATTTTATTTAAGAATCTTGTCATTTAATTCCTGTCAGGTATAAATACCCTTCCATATATAATTCTATATAGGCTTAAATGTCTATGTGTAGCACAAATCAAACTACCATAACTACCGCGTTCATGCAAGCGTTTATTATACTTGAATCATCGAATCTGCTCACGTCTAGGGCCCGTTTTTGCGTTGCAGTAAGTATTAAAGAGGACATACAAATCATCATCAATGTCACTTTACGCGTGTCATTGATATGTAGATGAACTTTAATGAACCTTCTTGTGTCTTCAGACATTTGCTTTGTCGATTGTTTTCTTCATTTTCTGTCGCATTGTATGGTTTATTTTTAAGATAGTGTAGTTGCGTCATATTGTGACTTATTAAATTAATTATTTGGTTTTTCCGTCAAATCACAATGTATTTAAAATAAGATAATTAAAATATCATTCTATGTTCCACATCGAATAATCGAATGTTCCAATTGTAAATCTGCGATTCTGCCTGAATCTCTTGCCAAAACGGCTACGGAAACCTATGAAATGCTAAAGCAAGCATTTGGGGAGTCCCCAATGGGTCGTGCACAAACTTTTGTGTGGCATTCACGTTTTAAAAATGGCCGAACCTCTGTCGATGATGACGAGCGTTCTGGACGACCATCTTCGAGCACAACGCCCGAAAATGGTACGAAGATTCGGCAGACTGTGTCAATAGAGTGCGAACCGGATGTAGTACGAGCTTCTGCTGCTAGGGGGTGCGGCCTACATTCATAGTGAATCAGTGTGCCAGCCGGCATCATCGAATTAGCATTTGTTTCTTAGTTACGGGCGTTTTGGTAGTGCATTACACCGACCCTCCTGCGCTTTCGGAATGGCGTGTGCATCAAATTTTGCCAAAGACTCGCCAAAACGGCTACGGTAACCTATGAAATGCTAAAGCAAGCATTTGGGGAGTCCGCAATGGGTCGTGCACAAACTTTTGTGTGGCATTAACGTTTTAAAAATGGCCGAATCTCTGTCGATGATGACGAGCGTTCTGGACGACCATCTTCGAGCACAACGCCCGAAACTGTTACGAAGATCGACGTCGTACCATCAACGACTTGTGCGACATTTTTGGGATAGGCTATGGGACCTGTCAGCTGATTCTAAAGGAAGAACTCCACATGCGACGCATCCTGTCAGAGGACTAGAAGCAGAATCGACTTCTCGTTTGTCAGGAGCTTAAAGATCTTGCAAGAACCGACCCCAGCTTCCTTTCTAAGCTCCGTGTGACTTCTTCCTCTTCCCAAAGATGAAAATTCAGCTAAAGGGAAGGAGATTTGAGACGATAGAAGAGATTCAGGCAGAATCGCAGATGGTGCTTGACAGGCTGACAAAGAAAGATTTCCAGGGATGCTTCCAGGCTTGGCAGCGGCGCTGGGATCGTTGTGTTCACTCCCAGGGGAACTACTTCGAGGGTGATGGATGAATTTATTACCCGAGATAAGTGTACGGGTTTTTATAGGCGCAGTCTTGAAACTTTCCGATCGCACCTCGTAAGATAAATTCTACCGAAAATGATGCTTACGCAATTTTCTGTGACGGATGAAGTTTTGACCTTGCAAGCGACAGGTCAATTGTATTACGTCCCAAAAGAACCTGAAAGGTAAAGACACATTTATCCTTGACGATCCTTTTTAACCATAAATCTATACACTCTAAAGAATTTTTTTCCCCGTTTGGTTGCAGAGTGGCTCAAATAGAAGAAGAAGAAGATGGTAGCACCGGCTGAATCGGACTGTAAGTAAGTTATATTTGTGTCAATTGATATATCTAACAAGTCGGTTACATCAGCGGTAAGGCGTCAGACATGATGAATATATAACCGTCTGTCTCTTTTTGATATTTTCGGGCATTTCTTAAGCTCTTAATTATTCTTTTCACGTCATAGTAGTTAGTTTAGATGAGTTTCATCAAAGCCTTAAAAAGGACCCAAAAGTTCAGTGGTCCTTAAAAGTTAACTAATACAAATCAAATTTTCTTAACAAAATTTAGTTTAGTTTTAGTTTACACAAATTTGAGTCTTATCGGTCCAGTAATTTCGGAGCTGTTACATGTGAACACGTGGAAAGATTGAAGGACACGCCCATAACAAAAGCTCCTATAAACAAAATATATAATTACTGTTACGAAATTAAATTGTTTAATATTTATTATGAGCAAATATTTTAGTTGTGTGGGGTGATTATTATTATTATTAGTATTATTCTGGCTCAGGATGGAGACCAGTGGTTGGCTGTTGTTAACACGGCAACGAACATCGTTTTCAATGAGATGATAAAGTTGCGTCATATTGTGATAAATATATATTTGTTTAAATCTTGTCAGTCTAATCACAATAAAATTCCTATTAAATATTAAAATATTACCATAATTAACATTTAAATATTTAAAATATATTAAATGATATTCTCTATCGAAATGTTCGATTTACATTAGAATATCACTTTTTACACGACATGTTTCAGTTCTA